GGAAACCAAGATCTGAAAGATTCTGGACAGTTTTATTGAGGTATGATTTTCACATCGTAAGATTCACTCACTGTTAATTCAATGATTTTTAGTAAATGTATAGAGTTGTGCAACCAGCATGTCACAATCCAAGGTCCACTTAGGAGATGAGGTCAGCAGGTCACTTGGGAAGCTTAGAAATTAGTCATATATATATGGGTATTCTAAAAGCATTGCCTTTCTTTATTCTACAATTATTTAATAAATTGTTTCTTTGTTAAATATTGTTTCTTTTTGGAATAAAATGTACGTATATGTGGCACAAAGTACAAAAGGCATAAATGGGCATACAAATAGTTTCCCTCCCACTCTGTCACCCAGCCACCTGGTTTCTGTTCCCAATAAATTAGTTCTCAAGGTGGATTACTAACCTGAAATGAAAATCTTTAGGCAAATTAGGTTTGAAGTGAGAGTGGAGCATCCAATATTATCTTGGAGCTTGGGCAAGAAGTGCTAGAGATAAATATAACTGTCATCCTGGTGATGTATTGGAAGCTCATCAATGGACATATTTTCTAAAGGATGGTGTAGAGAGAACAAAGAATATAACTTTGGACACATTGACAGGCACATTAATAGTTAGGAGGGGGAAACTTCCTGGCTGTCCAGTGGTTAGGACTTGGCACTCGCACTGCTGGGGCCTCGCTTGGGTTTGATTACTGGTCAGGGAACTAAGATCTCACAAGCAGTGTGGTGCAACCAAAAAGAAAAAAAAAAAAAGGAGGGAAGAACAGAACGTAAAGGAGAAAAAATTAGGAATTGAGAGAGAAATGAAATAAATTTGTATTATGAAAAGTAACAGAGGAGTTTTAAGAACGTGCTGTTCAGTGGTCCCAAATGCTAAAGAGATCATGGAGAATGGGAAATGAAAAAGGGCTTTTGGAATAAAGGTTTATAATAAACTGAGTGTAAAGTTTCAATAGAGATAGAGATAGGATGGGATTCACAGTGTAGGAGATTGGGAAGACAATGGGATTTTCCTAATATACAAAGAGCTCTTACAAGCCAATAAGAAAAAGATGATCAACCTAGTTAAAAATATGCAAAGAACATGTACAGGCAAGAAACTGAAGAGGAAATGCAATTGGACAGTAAACATATGAAAACAATGGTATTGGAGCAACTGGACATCCACATCCAAAAATAAGAATCTAGACACAGGCTGTATACACTTCACAAAAATTAACTCACAGTGGATCATACACCTAAATATGAAATGCAGAACTATAAAACTAGAAGATAACATAGGAGAAAATCTAGAAGACCTTGGGTATGGTGATGCCTTTTTAGATGAAACACCAAAGACATGATCCATAAAAGAAATAATTGATAGCTGAACTTCAGTAAAATTAAAAACTTCTGCTCTGTGAAAGACAATGTCAAGAGAATAAGAAGACAGCACAAACTGGGAGAAAATACTTGGTAAACAGACATATCATAAAGGACTGTTACCCAAAGTACATTAAAAAACCCTTGAAACTCAACAATAAGAAAACAACCCAACTAAAAAATGGGCCAAAGACCTTAACAGATACCTTAGCAAAGAAGATATACAGATGGCAAATAAGCATATGAAAAGATACTCCATATTATATGTCCCAGGGTAATGAAAATTAAAATGGGATACCACTATACACCTAGTAGAATGGCCATAAACAGAAAAAAAGACAAATGCTGGTGAGAATGTGGAGCAATAGGAACACTCATCCATTGCTGGTGGAAGTGCAAAATGGTACAACCACTTTGGAAGACTGTTCGGTGGTTTCTTATAAAACTAAACATACTCATAATGTATGATCCAGAAATTGCACTCTTTAATATTTACCCAAGGTAGATGAAAACTTATGTCCACACGAAAACCTGCACATGGATGTATATAGGAGCTTTATTCATAATTGCCAGAACTTGGAAGCAACCAAGATGTCTTTCAATAGGTAAATGGATAAACTGTGGTACATCCAGACAATGGAATATTATTCAGCACTAGAAAGAAATGCTCCATCAAGCCATAAAAAGACATGGAGGAAACTTAAAGGCATATTACTAAGTGAAAGAAGCAAATCTGAAAAGGCTACATACTGTATGATTCTGACATTCTGGAAAAGGCAAAACTATGGAGACAATAACAAGATTAGTGGTTACCAGGGATGGGTAGGCAGAGCACAGAGGAGTTTTAGGGCAGTAAAAACACTCTGTATGATATTATAATGATGGATATATGCCATTATGCATTTGTCTAAACCCATAGAATGTACAACACAAAGAACCTTAAGGTAAACTATGGACCTGTGTGATTATGATGGGTCAATGTAAGTTCATCCTTGGTAAAACCTATACCATTCCGGTGATTTGGTAATGGGGGAGGCTGTGCAAATGTGGGGGCAGGGGTATGTGGGAAATCTCTGTACTTTCCTCTCAATTTTGTTGTAAAGGTAAAACTGTTCTAAAAAAGTCTTTTAAAAAAAGGATGTTTAACTTCCCTACTAATTAAATATATGTAAATTAAAACAGTAGGATATCTTTTTTTTCCCTTAATATATCACCAAAGGTGAAAAGACTGGTAATATTCAACGTTGGTAAGGATGTTGGGAAGCAGGAACCCTAACATACTCATGGTGGTATGGTTATTTGATATCTTTTTGAAGAGAAACTTGGCAATATCTACTCAAAATGTCCTTAGTCTTTGACTTAGCAATTCCACTTTTAAGAATGAGTAAACTCATTTTCACAAGTAGGCAAAGGTGTATGTAGCAGAATGTTCATTACAGCTTTATCTATAATAAATAATGTTGGAAATAACCTCAAAGTTCCCTGGTAGTTATTAAACATTGGCACATTTGGATAATGGAATACTCTACAGTAGTTAAAAAATTATAGTGCTGTATGTGCTGCTGTGGAAAAAAGTGAAAAGAGTAAATTGAAAAAGATTATGTGGTATACACTTGCCTTTATTTTAAATTATATATATATTATATAAATATATATATTTTAAATTATATATACATATATTAATATATACATAGAAAAAATAAATATAGAGAAATATATATTAAAGTCTTAATTATTCTGGTGAACTAAGGTAAGAGATTTTCACTTTCTATAGCAATTGTTAATTCACAATATTCGTAGGATTGTTGTGAGGATTAAGTGAATTAATATGTCATAAGGCAATTAAAACAGTGGAATATAGCACATACAAGCTACTATATAAAGTTACATTATACTATGTTATTTTTGAAATAGTTTGATTTGTTACAATAAGTATGATTTTTAAAGCAGAAAAAAAATGATGTGGTGAAGATGTAGGCAGTATTTGAGCATTTTATTTTTTTGGCTGCACCGCTGCAGCACGTGGGATCTTATTTCCCCCACCAGGATTCGAATACACGCCCCCTGCATTGGAAGGGCAGAGTCTTAACCACTAGACTGCCAGGGAAGCCCCCTTGAGCATTTTCAACATGAATGAAAAGGGACTTCCCTGGAGATCCAGTGGTTAAGACTCCATGCTTCCAGGGCAGGGGCACGGGGTGGGGGGGCGGGGGGGAACGTGGTGCAGCCAAAAGAACAAACAAAAAACATTACAAAAAAACCTCAACCAACCAACCAACCCCCGCCCAAAAAAAAACATGAATGAAAGGTTAAAAACAAAACGAGAACTTGAAGATGCTAATGGGTCCTCTGTGCAGATTTGAAAGGAGCTAGTTGAAAGGTAAAGGTTGATAATACTAAGAACCAGACAGAAGAGAATGGGAAACTGTAATAGTAGTATCAACTGATACTTAATGAATGTTTACCATGTGCCAGGTGTTCAGTTGCTTTGGAGTCTACCTGGTGAGATTAATCTGGACAGGAGGAGCATCCTTTCCTTGAGATTAGAACAAAGATTCTTAACCTCAACTCCCTGAAACTGTATGCTACATTTGGTGGGCAAATGCCTTTTAAAAATATCCAAAACAAGGTCCAGATTTCTAAAAGAGTGTTTGAGCACTCTCTTTCAAAGGTGAAAGAATCAAGGAACGATAAAAGTTTGATTTAAATTTTAAGGTGTAGAGATGGAAAATGAGGGAATTTTTGCTAGATAGCCTTCTACCAGTTAAATAGGATTAGAGATTCCCTTTAAGGACAGTGAGATTTGGTGATTATGACATTTCCAAGTACTGATGATTGATTCATCCTCCTCCCTCCACAATACGTGTCTAGGAGTAGAGTTAACTTCTTTTGGGCTCCTGGTTTGGTTTTCGAAGATCAATGGGCTCACCCACAATCTATCATTTTTTCTTTTCACCTCCTCGCAGTCAACCTAAATTCTTTCCAAACATCTTTTCAAGGAAGTCTTCTTTGATAAATCTTAACTGTTTCGGCTTCTAGATATAGTTCTTACCAACTTTCGGTGAATAGCTTAACGCCTCTGATTCAGTATTTTTCCATTTGGCAACTATTACTGAATGAAAATTTCAATTTATTACGAGAATCAAAAGATATCTGTGAAAACCTCTTGCAAAGTTTTGGCTAACATCAGTACTATCCAATTACGAAGCGTTAACTATTCATTTTCAGTGTTAATGTGTCCAGTAATTTTTTTAAAGTTTTCTGAAGAATTGGTGTTCTGCGCAGTCTCACCCCCAAATACTGAAAGTGGGTGGGCGCTCCTCTCAGATTGAGGCTACGTCTTTCGCTCCTTTTGTCTTTGAGTCGGACTAGAACTGTCATGGCGCCTTCAAGAAGAGGGGGAAGGCCTTCCCTTCGCCCAGCAGAATCATCGGGGGCACCAGGACCGGACAGAGGGGTGGACAGAGAGACAGGCCCCAGTTGAGACCGAAAACACCGAACCCTCCAAGAGGTCTCAGCCGGACAGGCTCTAGGGGAGGAAACCGGGTTGAAGACTACCCCTGCGAGCGACCGTCTGCCCGGGGCACCGCCCACCCTGGCCGCCCTGTCCAATGGAAACCCAACGGCACTGCGGCACCGCCCATCTGTTGGTCCGGACGCCGCGAAGGCGGGGCCCGCAGTTCGGTTGCGCCGCGGAGCGCAGCTGTGAGCGAGTCTTTCTGATCCGGGGCCCCGGAACCCGAGCTGGAGCTGAAGCGCAGGCTGCGGGGAGCGGAGTCGGGAGGTGAGCGCTGAGGGGACTGAGAGGGAGGGAAGGTTTCGGCTAAAGGACGAGAGGGTCGGCCTCCGCGGCCAGGACGGTGGGATCCCGGCAGGCGGGTGTCTGGAGGTGGCCCTGCTCACTCGGCAGCCAAGGCCCGGCCCGCCGGAGCCGAGAGTACACCTCGGCCCCACAGTCCCTGCTCGGCCCTCCCCGACCGTCCCCGAGCGGCGGCGGCAGCGCCCGGAATTCTGCGGACGCGGGGCGAGAGGCCCCGGCGTTCGTGTCGAACTCGGGCTGACGAGAGGCGGGGCCGGCGGCGAGGGCGGGGGCGGGGGCGGGGGCGGCGGTCGCGGGCCCGGCGGCCTGCGGAAGCGCAGCGTCGGGGCCGCGCCTGCTCGCGGGGTCGGCGCGCCGACTGCGCGGGGGCGTGGCCTGCGCCCCTGACTGGGCCGCGGGGCTGGCCTTTGGTGAGGTGGCTGCGGCTCGCTGCAGGGCCGGCCTCGGGGCCCGACGGTCCCTCGCTGACAGCGGGCTAGGCGACCTGTTGGAGTGTGAAATTCCTCCCCGAGCTTGCTTGTTCTGCAGGTCTCAGGCCTTCTTTGGTCCGCTGAAGGTGAGGGCGGGCAAGAGGCCTGTGAGCTGTTGCTGAGGAGTTGAAATGCTGAGAAGCTGCAGCCCCAAAAATGAAAAACTTTGCAGGGGAAAACTTTGCAACGATTTACGTACACTGCACGGAAGTGAACACTAGGCATCTCGGGGTGGCGAGGAGATTCCCTTGAGGGGCGTCAATGGCCTTTTCCATATGTGATCTCATTTAAACCTCTGAACGACCGACCCTGAGACAAAAACTCCAGTGTTGCCATCAGCAGGGGGAGTGCTGGGGGATCTTGGGCATTGCCTTCATTTTGCCTACAGAGGGGGGAGAGATTGGGGAGGGAGAAGACAAGCACATTCGAAGAGCATCTATGACTGGTGAAGGTTTGCCCTCTCTTGCGGTGCCCTGCTGTGGATTAATTGTGCCCTGGGTCCAGAAATTTCTTTAGAGCCCATTGGCTACAGGCTTTCTGTATTAGAATTCCACTGGTATTTCTTATAATGTAGCTGGAAACTTTACTTAGCTGTTCAGATTAAGGATGCATTCTATAAATAAAGTAACCCATATGAACTTTCTTACCATTTTTTTTAAGCTACTTTTCAGGTAGATTACTAAGACTGGTTGATTGAAATCTATGCTAGGCAAGGACCGAGAAAAAAACATAGGCGAAATGACATCTTGCCAGATTTTCTCTGTAGTGCTTTGTTTGCCCTCTGATATTTACTGGAATGTCATCTAATAAAATCTCCTGGCTTGGGTTAAACACAGTGTAGGTTGGGGGCAGAGATGGGCAGAAGGGGGCATCTGAGAGTTCTAAAAAGAAATGAGGGCTTTTCAGAAAGTTGGCGTTGATCAGAAGTGTGTGTATTTTGAACTGACTTACTGGAGCAAATGTACTTTACAGGATATCATTTTCATCCTGGCGAGCACTCCCTTGAGCCCAGCACACATCAGATTCCAACTCCTTCACGGCCTTCGTTCTTAGAGATATGGGATAACATTCAGGGATTGTCCTGTGATTCTTAAGTTAGTGACATTTAGCTTTTGAGGATTCTTTTTCTTTAAGTAGCCATGTCAATGTATAGTACTATACACTAGTTAGTATAAAATGTTATACTATATAGTGCTTTTTCCTATAATGGCTGTGTCTTGAGTTATTTGTACTTGAAAGGAATACCTATGTCAGAGGATGGAGGCTTTGAGCCATGTGAATGAAATGAAAGCTGGAAGCTTAAAGTCTTAGCTCTGCCTTAAATTTGCGGCTTTATGAGTGTGGGCATCTTATTTATTTTGTTCACTATTGTATCTCAAGCACCTAGCTCAGTGCTTGGCCCGCAGTAAGTGCTTAATAAACATTTGTTGAATGAGTGAATGAAAAAAAAAGTGTTGCTAATACCCACCCATTTGCCACACTCACATCACAGGGAGGGTGAGGTCATCAGGGATGAAGTCACTAGCCACTGCCAGTCACCTGGCCCAAGGGTAGCCTCATCATGGACTGGCAGGCTCGTTCTGTGCATAGGAGAGATGGACAGTGAATGCCAAGATTAGTTCAAGTAGAATAAATCAGCTGAGGGTTTCAGCTGAATAAATTGGTTGAGAGTGCTACAGCTCTAGATCTAGAGCTGGTTCAGTGGAACATTTGGGGGTCTGGAGTCATCTGTTCCAAATAGTGCCCATGTACCTTGGTTCTTGAGCACAGTGCAAGAGGTAGGTGAGGATTCACAGAGAAGGCTATCGGGTAAGTGTTTGCTGAGAAGGAATGAGGCCCCTGATTTTGATGTTCATTTGGACCTTTCTAAACACGGGTTGTACTACCGTAAATCTTGTGCTTGCCACTCCTGGGTGAGTCATTTTTTTTTAAGTGATAAAATATGTTTATTAACATAATTAAGCATAGCAGCATATTCTTTAAGCTTAAAATATACTTCAGTTGCTCACTGACCTGGGTGAGTCATCTTCAACCAAGATAGCTCCCCTTCTCTAGACTAGGAGAGTAGTTAATGTTTAGGGTTCACACAGGACTAATTCTGATTTTGGATTTAAAGGAAACAAGGGAGGTATATGTTTTGTTTTCTTTTTAACCCCAGATTAGGTTATTAGGATGGAATCTTTATAGAATCTATCCTAACCCTCTCTGCCTTCTCCCATCACCCTTGCTCCAACCAATGCAGGCCTGAGTGTTTGTTCCAGCATGTCGGAGGGGGAGTCCCAGACAGTACTCAGCAGTGGCTCAGACCCAAAGGTAGAATCCTCATCCTCAGCTCCTGGCCTGACGTCAGTGTCACCTCCTGTGACCTCCACAACCTCAGCAGCTTCCCCAGAGGAAGAAGAGGAAAGTGAAGATGAGTCTGAGATCTTGGAAGAGTCACCCTGTGGGCGCTGGCAGAAGAGGCGAGAAGAGGTGAGGTAGTAGTAGTGTTACTCTAGAGAGTGAAACTAAGAGGTAAAAAGTGGAGGGGCAGAGTCTCAGCGGGGCAGACCAAACTTTAACAGGTCAGAGCCTGGGAGAAGATGATCGTACGGAGTATTAAAATAGAGACTTCGTGTGGTAACTTTAATTCCCTTTCATTTGAATTTCTTCTCAGGTGAATCAGCGGAATGTACCGGGTATTGACAGTGCATACCTGGCCATGGATACAGAGGAGGGGGTAGAGGTTGTGTGGAATGAGGTACAGTTCTCTGAGCGAAAGAACTACAAGCTGCAGGAGGTAAGTAATGGTGAAAGAATGCAGCCTGTGGGATGTTAGAATGCTGGTGTAAAGAGGAATTGGGGTTGGGAAGCTACTATGAGAAGAGTACATTGGGGTTAGATCATTTCTAGGGGGGATAGGGAATGGCTTTTTAGGATGATAATGCTTTCTGAACCCTGTTATCCCAATGTCTCCCCTGCTTCCAGGAAAAGGTCCGTGCTGTGTTCGATAATCTGATTCAGTTGGAACATCTCAACATTGTCAAGTTTCACAAGTATTGGGCTGACATTAAAGAGAACAAGGCCAGGGTAAGAACTTTTTCCTGAGCTTACTGCAAAGAGACTAGCTACACTTACTGTTCATTCTATATTCAGAAAAAGATAGTTTTGAAACAGAGCTGGAATCAGCTGCTGTTGAGATGAGAGTAGGGCTATGACCACCACCTGTGCCTTTTGTCTGGTTATAGTCGGGACAGAAATCAGTGAATTTTTGTTTCTTCCTTCCCGTAGCTCATATTGCTCAGTAGTTTTCATTGCCCTATTAAATCTAAGGAAGTGATGCTAAGAACGAAAGAGAGATACTTTATTAAGAAAAGCACCAGGCTTCCAAATTTTATGTATATGTTGTATATGTGTTACCTAGATAAGGGATCATTTCTACTATAAGGCTTTATTTGTGTGCTTTGCCTCTCCAGGTCATTTTTATCACAGAATACATGTCATCTGGGAGTCTTAAGCAATTTCTGAAGAAGACCAAAAAGAACCACAAGACTATGAATGAAAAGGTATGGAGGGAGAGCAGAAAAAGCTTTAGGCTGGTTTGGAGGTTTAAAAAAGATTATGTTAATTATGAAGCTGATCAGGATGGGATGGAGGGAACTGGTTGGAGGGTTAAGAGAGGGGATTACTGCTGACCCTTGGATCAAACTCTGTTCCAGGCTTGGAAGCGTTGGTGCACACAAATCCTCTCTGCCCTAAGGTAAGTAGGATCTGGTTAGTGTCTTTCCCATATTTATTCCTGATTTAGTTCCTCCAAACAGATTTCAGGGCACTACTCAGCTGTTCTTTTCTGCCTCTCCCCACTCTCTTTGAGTCATATACTTCAAGATTAGGCCCCATCGGTCTTTTAAAGGGTTCATCCTAACGCGTTGACCACGATGCTGTCTCCCACCTCTTTCTCCTAGCGCTTATCCAGCTATTTAACTCATCAGGCATGATGGAGATTCAGAGTGTGGGTATTATCTTTGTGGTGACCAGCAGGAGACCAGGCCCTTGCTCCTCTTAGCCCTTGGGATCCCCCTGCCCTAATTTCCCAGTGGCCCCTCTAACAGCCCAGTGCCCCCACAGCTACCTGCACTCCTGTGACCCCCCCATCATCCATGGGAACCTGACCTGTGACACCATCTTCATCCAGCACAACGGACTCATCAAGATTGGCTCTGGTGAGGGGAGGGAGAGGTTCTGGGCAGGGGAGCCTCGGGAATTTGGGAACCATGGGGGTAAGATGAAAGGAATGGGGGAAGACAGAGCAAAGTTCTGAGGTGTGGGCTGGTGATAAGAGAAAGGACCTTACTAGGGGTAATTTATAGGAGAGGCCAGTCAATTAGTGGAGAAGGTGTAGGGTCTAATCTTGTACCTTTTTGGAGGGAAACTGGGGTTAATACAGAGATCTTGACAGGAGGTTGGGAAAGGGCAAGGGTTGGGTGTAAGGTATGATTTGAGCCCCTGGGGCCAGACGCTACCAAAGGAGGTTCCAGGCTGTGCCTGCTGTGAGTGCTTTCATTTGCTGTGTATACGTGTGCAGTGTTTAACATTTCTGTGTGCCGTGTCTGTGTGTTGTTTGTGTGTCCATTTGTCTGGGGCTTGGCTGCTCCATCGCTCACAACTTTTCTCTGTTTTCCTCCCTCCCGCTTACGGGCTGCTCTGTTCCCAACAGTCTTTCATAGGATTTTTGCTAATGGTGAGAGCTCCCTCTGCCCTACTTGGGGCGCTGTTTGTGCTTCCTCTGCTCCCCTTTTCGGCTGCCCAGTGCATGCAGTCGTGGGAGCAAACACCGTTCCCCTGCCTAATTATGCCTGCTTGGCTTCTGTGCTACCAGCCCTCCCCATGCTTGCTTTTCCATAACCTGCTTGTTTCCTGTGGATTCTGCCTGGCTGGCCACTTACGTCCAGGATTCTTAATCGCCCTCATCATCAGGCTGGTTCCCTAAGTCATACTGTGCTCCCAGACTCTCTGTGACTTGTAGTCATTGTTTATGATCCGAGTGAGTCCAAATTGGGCCTGGCCCTGGTTCCTCGTTCAGCTCTGTGGCAGGCAATGTTGAGGAGTAAGAGAGTAGAGCAGGGGTCTAAAAATTTTTGTGGATTACAAGTGAAACTGATTTAAGGGTATTGGTTCAGTTTTGAGCTGTTTTTGAGTTTCAGTCAGTAAAGGTGGGTAAGAAGGAGGCTGTCTACTTGGTTGTATGTTAATCCTTCTTATCCATCTTCATCCAAGTTTCTGAGGTCTCTTAATTGCTACAGATTAGGAAGGGCTGCCTGTGTTTTTACATTGTTTGCAGGGTGGATGAAAGAACTAGACCAAACGTTTTCATGTGATCTGGGGTTAGGTGTACCTGGGCTTTGGGGAAGGTAAGCAGGTCACAAGTGGGTTTTTCCTTAGACTGTGTTGTTCCTTGCCAGCCCAAAGCCCCTGTGTACCTGTTAGTTTAGTGTGGAGCCTTTGCTGCTACTGAGTTAGGGACCTTAGATGAGAAGCAGTAGACCTGAGAAAGGGGAGATAGGTGGTGTTCATGTTTAGTCTGGAGTTCATGATGGGAAAGGGATAGGTTTGCGCCTGTTGAGGGTTAGAGACTTCAGGAGAGAATTTGTCTTTTGGGGGCCTCTCTCTGGAGTTAGGCTGTGCTTTGTTGATGGTGGTCAGATTGTGGGTATCTCCCCTACTCCCAGTGGCTCCTGACACTATCAACAATCATGTGAAGACTTGTCGGGAAGAACAGAAGAATCTCCACTTCTTTGCACCAGAATATGGAGGTGAGGCATCCCAGTTTCTCTGCCCTGTGCCCATACCCCAGGTTTTCCACTTTACAACCTGAGGGTCGGAGGTAACATAACTGAAACTTTCGTCCTTCTCTACTGGCATGCAAAAAGTTAAGACACCTCTGCCATGCCCTGCTCGGATCCTCTGATTCACCAAAGCTTCTCTGTTTTCCCTAGAAGTCACTAATGTGACAACGGCAGTAGACATCTACTCCTTTGGCATGTGTGCACTGGAGGTGAGGAGACCAGAAGGGTGGGTAGTGGAAAGGGGTCAAATTAGAAGATAGAAGGGAAATGGAGGGTTGACAAGTAAGGTACTGGTCTTGAGGGAGTGATTGTGGGAGCACTGAGGTTCTTAGGTCTCTATTTTTCCTTTTTATTACTCCTCACTGCAGATGGCAGTGCTAGAGATTCAGGGCAATGGAGAGTCCTCATATGTGCCACAGGAAGCCATCAGCAGTGCCATTCAGCTTCTAGAAGACCCATTACAGAGGGTAAGAATCTTCAGGATCACTCCTCCTTAACAGACTTTGAAATGTCTTCAGATTTTTCTTCCTTTTACCTACTGGGAATATGCTCTCTTCTAAGAGTAAGAAAACATAAAGCAGAAAGGGCACTCAAAGTAGTGAACATTTCCCTAGGTATTTTTGGTACACACACACACACACACACACACACACACATACACACACACACACACACATTCTCTCTCTCTCTCTTTCTCTCTCTCTCTCACAGGTTAGGGGTTTAAGAGGTTAGGGGTAATATTGGGGGGCTTCCCTGGTGGCGCAGTGGTTGGGAGTCAGCCTGCCGATGCAGGGGACGCGGGTTCGTGCCCCGGTCTGGGAGGATCCCACATGCCGCGGAGCGGCTGGGCCCGTGAGCCATGGCCGCTGAGCCTGCGTGTCCGGAGCCTGTGCTCCGCAACGGGAGAGGCCACAACAGTGAGATGCCCGCGTACCGCAAAAAAAAAAGAAGATGGGTAATATTGGGACTAAAGTTTGTGTGTTAACTTAGGTTTGTCTATGTGGAGGCAAACTAATTTGATGGTTACCTCAGGTAATTTGTATACACTCTCAGACAACCATCTTGGTATGTATTTTTCTTTCATACAGGCATGACCATTATTGGCACACACCCTTTTATTTATTTATTTATTTATTTGGCTGTGCCGGGTCTTAGTTTCGGCACGTGGGAATCTTCATTGCCGCTTGCAGGATCTTCGTTGCGTCATGCGGGATCTTTAGTTGCGGCACGCGAACTCTTAGTTGTGGCCTGTGGGATCTAGTTCCCTGACCAGCGATCAAACCCAGGCTCCCTGCATTGGAAGCGCGGAGCCTTAGCCACTGGACCACCAGGGAAGTCCCAACCATCTTGATATTTTTGAACAAATCAATCAGTTTGAATTACTCAAACCAGTTATTTGGGGTTTTGTATTTATATAGTTTTAGTTAGGGAAAGTGCCCTGAAATAAATGAGCTAAGATTTAAAGGATATAGGGCGGGACTTCCCTGGTGGCGCAGTGGTTAAGATTCTGCGCTCCCAATGCAGGGGGCCCAGGTTCGATCCCTGCTCAGGGAACTAGATCCCACATGCATGCCGCAACTAGGAGTTCACATGCCGCAACTAAGACCTGGCACAACCAGGTCTTAGCATAAAACAAAAAATGGAAAAATTAAAAAAAATATAGGATATAGGGGTTATGAATCAGGAAGTAGACTATAGTAAGTAGGGTCTGGACAGGAAGGTCCAAACAAGGTTAGTTTGTAACTCATTAGATGCTTATAAAAGGGAGGAGGATAATATGTATAAAATGGATAACTAATAAGAACCTGCTGTATAAAAAAATAAAATTCAAAAATTCAATAAAAAGGGTGGGGGAGGAGAGAAGAGAAGGAAAATTAGTGGGAAGTCTTGAGGCTAGTGTGGAATAAGTTTCTAGTTCAGTGTCAGGGTGGGCTGTTCAAGTAAGAGATTAGGTATGTGGCCTTGTTGGCCTTCCAGATTGAAAGGAGGAGAGCAGGTTAACTGTCATGGGACCTGTGGGGTTAGAGGGAGCATGGGGAAATCCAGTGAATTTAATAAATGATGTAGTGGACAAAGGAAATTGTGGTGGTAGGCTTGGGAAATAAAAAGATGGTAACTATTATTGACCACAGTGGGTGAGTTTGGAAAGAGAGAGGTAAATTTGGTGAGGGTTGGAGAAGGTAGGCAGTGAGTGGGCTAATAAAGCAGAGAGATAGAAAATAAGAAAAAAGAAATCATAAGTTTGAACAGTAAAGAAAAAAAGCTTGCGATTGGGGAGCAGAAAAATAATGAAAACCAGAAAGACAGTGAATGATACCTTTCATATAATACCTTACAGTTTTCGAAGTCCTTTCAAAAACATTAGCAATTTGTTCCCTCAGCCAGTGCTGAGCACCTAGTATGCACACAGCCTTGTACTAGATATAATGTGAGAGAGAGAGAGAGACGAACACAGTGGAGTGCTTGCCAGATGCCTGCTCCACTCCCTTGTTCCCCTTTCTAGGAGTTCATTCAAAAGTGCCTGCAGTCTGAACCCGCTCGCAGACCAACAGCCAGAGAACTTCTGTTCCACCCAGCACTGTTTGAAGTGCCCTCGCTCAAACTCCTTGCTGCCCACTGCATTGTGGGACACCAGCGTGAGTCCTCTTGACCCTCCTAGGAATTTTTTTTTCCAGTCTGGAGCCTTGTAACTCTCACTGGCATGTTTCCTTTCCTCTTCTACTTCCAAAGGGATTCTTTCCATTCCTCCCCCACCCTCCCCCAGGACCCCTTGTGCCTTCTGTGATATTAATCTGAACTATCCTTCCATAACTTCCCATTCCATCATGCCCTCCAGACATGATCCCAGAGAATGCTCTGGAGGAGATCACCAAAAACATGGATACCAGTGCTGTACTGGCTGAAATCCCTGCAGGACCAGGAAGAGAACCAGTTCAGACGTTGTGAGTAACTAACTGAGAGGTTCTGAAAGGGACAGATTGGTCATTCCCACCCTGAGGTTTCTGTCAACTGTCCATTCTCTGGGAGTGGTCGAATCTGCTGTTTTTGCTCGTTTCCTTCCTTCCATCTTCCTTCTCTTTTCTTCTCCAGGTACTCTCAGTCACCAGCTCTGGAACTGGATAAATTCCTTGAAGATGTCAGGTGAGAGAAGAATGAGAAAAAAAGCTTCCTTGAGGAGGCAGGGGTGGGTGTCCTAAGACATCCACGGAGCCCATCCGACCTGTCTGATCTCCACTTAGGAACGGGATCTACCCCCTGACGGCCTTTGGGCTGCCTCGGCCCCAGCAGCCACAGCAGGAGGAGGTGACATCACCTGTGGTGCCGCCTTCTGTCAAGACTCCAACACCTGAACCCGCTGAGGTGGAGACCCGCAAGGTGGGGCTGTGTGGGTGTGGCTGTCTCTGTGGTTGTGGTGGAAGGGAGAGAGGACATCTCAGATAAGGCTTTGTCCTTTAGAGAGAAGAATGTGTTTCTGCTCCCTGGCGTTCATGTCCTGTGGGCTGGAAAGGCTTCCAGCTCTTGGGGGTTTTTTGCTCACTGGTCTCTACTCTAGTGACCCTCTCTGTCCCCTCTCCCTAGGTGGTGCTGATGCAGTGCAACATAGAGTCGGTGGAGGAGGGCGTCAAACACCATGTAAGGCTCAGGGCCAGGGCTGCATAGGGCTGGGTGGCCAGAGGGTGGGGAAGGGGAGCCTCATTTTCTGACTGTCCTACTCTCCAGCTGACGCTTCTGCTGAAGCTGGAGGACAAACTGAACCGGCACCTGAGCTGTGACCTGATGCCAAGTGAGTCTCTCCTTTCCCTCAGAGGATGGAGAGTCTATGAGCCTTATCTGTGAGGGACATATTCAGGGGTGGGTAAGGTGACAGGGCAGTAACACATTGACTCACATAGAATGAATATCGTCGCCCCTAAAATTGGAGGGTGGATCTGACAGTTTTGCTTGTGTCATTCTTTCCCAGCCAGGGTCACCTGACTGGGGCTGTTCCAAGGGCCCTGTGCCCCTCACTGCTGTACTGTACTCACCCTCTCCTGTTTCTCTGTCAGATGAGAACATCCCCGAGTTGGCGGCGGAGCTGGTGCAGCTGGGCTTCATTAGCGAGGTGAGGTTTCTGCCTCCAGCCACCCCCACCGCCCCTGCTGCCCCCGCTCTCCTCCGCCTGGTCTCACTGAGCTCCTCCCCTTTAGGCGGACCAGACGCGACTGACTTCTCTGCTGGAGGAGACCCTGAGCAAGTTCAATTTTGCCAGGAACAGCACCCTCAACTCAGCCGCTGTCACCGTCTCCTCTTAGAGCTCACTCGGGCCCAGCCCCTAATCTGAGCTGTGGCTGTCACGACATGTGCTACAGCCTTCCTGCCCCTTCCCCCCAGACAGTATTACCCTGTGAAGCCCCTCTCTCCTTTATTATTCAGGAGGGCTTTGGGGCTCCCTGGTTCTGAGCATCACCCTACCCACCCCTCCCCTTCTCTTCCATCCCTCTGCACTTTGTTTACTTGTTTTGCACAGACGTGGGCCTGGGCCTTCTCAGCAGCCGCCTTCTAGTCGGGGGCTAGTAGCTGATCTGCTGGCTCCCGCCCAGCCTGTGTGGAAAGGAAGCCCACGGGCGCTGGGAGCTGAATTCTACAATCCCGCTGGGGCGGACGGGGCGGGAGAGAAGGGTGGTGCTGCAGGGGTGGCCCCGGGGGGCCATTCGATTCGCCTCAGTTGCTGCTGTAATAAAAGTCTACTTTTTGCTACGCGCGTCGTGTGGGTGTGTGGGTGTGGGTGGGTGTCTGTGTGTGTGTGTGAGAGAGAGAGAATGTGTGTGGGTGTGGGTGTGTGTGGGCGCGCGCGCCTGCCTCTCCCGCCAGGGGGCGCGGAGGTTGGGCTGCAGGTGCTCAGGGAGAGCGGAACTGGCCGGGGAGCGAGGGCGGGGCCAGGGCAGGTAGAGCTGCCCCGCGGCCGGCCAGCGCTGAGGAACCGATGAAGTGCCGCTGCCGCCTCTGCGTTTTCGGTAATTTCTGGCCCCTCTGGTCGCGTTCTCCCCCGAGCGCCCACCGTGGACCCGCCCTACGCCCCGTGGCCTACTGGGGGCGGCAGCAAGGGGCCTCCGCCGACTCGGCCGTCTCCTCTCCCGCTCAGGCCTGCCCCTCCCCCCGTGCTTTGCAGACGCGGCCAGGGGGCCCCGGCGGCTCATGCACGTGGGCCTGGCGCTGATCCTGGTGGGCCACGTGAACCTGCTGCTGGGGGCCGTGCTGCATGGCACCGTCCTGCGGCACGTGGCCAATCCCCGCGGCGCCGTCACCTCGGAGTACACCACCGCCAATGTCATCTCCGTGGGCTCCGGGCTGCTGGTGAGCGGGGCCGGGCCGTGGGGCGGGCGGTTGGCGCTGGAGAGCGGCGCGGGCCTCAGGTTTTGTTTCTTCCAGAGCGTTTCCGTGGGACTTGTGGCCCTTTTGGCATCCAGGAACCTTCTTCGCCCACGACTGGTGAGGGGATTTCTGGAGCTTTAATGAGGAGGCCAGGAGTCAGGGAAATGGGGGCTGGCTCAGCTTCATCTCTGGTGGGAGGAGGAGCCCCAGATGGAGTAACCTAGGTGTCAGTGGGAGAGGCAGCCACCCCCAGGCTGCTCACCCTGACCTTCTGCCCCTGCTAGCACTGGGCCCTGCTGGCACTAGCTCTGGTGAACCTTCTCTTGTCTGCTGCCTGCTCCCTGGGCCTCCTCCTTGCTGTGTCATTCACTGTGGCCAACGGCGGCCGCCGTCTTATTGCTGACTGCCATCCAGGACTGCTGGATCCTTTGTTACCACTGGACCAGGGGTCTGGACACACTGACTGCCCCTTTGACCCCACAAGAATCTATGTGAGTCCATTCTCTTCCCAGCCTTTTTGCGGTCCACAAAGCCTTGGTCCTGCCCTTTAATCGCCCCTACTTGCCACTCCTGCCCTGCTTCCTCTAGCCTCCCCCCCTTCCTTCACCTTTTAGGATACAGCCTTGGCTCTCTGGATCCCTTCTTTGCTCATGTCTGTAGCTGAGGCTGCTCTATCTGGTTACTGCTGTGTGGCTGCGCTCACCCTACGTGGGGTTGGGCCCTGTAGGAAGGAAGGGCTACAGGAGCAGGTAAGGAAGATGCACAGGAAGGGTTCATTCAACACAGAATGTGTTGTAAAGATGCTGAATTATATACAGGGCTGGAGTACTAACCCCACCCTCTTCTGTAGCTGGAGGAACTGACAGAGCTTGAACTTCCTAAATGTAAGAGGCAGGAAAATGAGCAGCTACTGGATCAAACTTGAGAAATCCGGATATCACAGAAAAGTTGGGTTTAGGGACAGGTAATGGGCCAGGAGGATTGTGGCCTGGGAAAGGGTGGTGGCAGGGACCACTCTTAGAACTGGGTTGGGTCCTTTGCTATGCTGCTTGCCCTCTGACGCAGGCTCTTCCTTCTGTCAAGCAGGTGCTGATCCGGAGGCTCAGTCCACAAGGATCTTCCACTGACCCCTAGGATATGTTTATATAATAACAGTTGTAATAAAAGAACTTCTACTTGATTATGATTCGTTTTGGGGGAAAGGGGCGCTGGGCTAGTGTTGGGGGTGAACTTGATCAAAGAATACAGTGGTCTCAGTTACTTACAAGACTTTAATGAGGGATGGAACCTACTAACTCTACCAGTTACTGAAAGGAGAAGCTGGTGCTGGGCAGTCCCCCGCACCACTGACTGATGAACTTCAGTACGTCTTGGCACACAGGGCTGTGGGAGGTCTGTGAGGAAACAGAGAGCATGAGGGGAACTCAGCAGCGCTGGGAAAAACATTCCTAATACAAAGAAAACTTGTTCCATCTCAGTGTGGGGAGCAGGGTTCAGGCCTGCACCTGCCCTCTTGACAACACCTCCCCTACCCTGCATGGCTGCTGGTGGGTTCTTCAGCGCTGTTCTCCCTACCCCCATCTCTCAAGCCTTCCTCTCTAACCTTGATGGCCATAAGGAACTTATTCCAGTTGTCCTTGTTAGCTGCCTTCCCTGGCCGCTTAAATTCAATTTTGTTCCTCAGAATGGGGTATCCTGGAGGGGTGGGGGGAGAAAAAAAGATGAACTGGAGTTTGCGATGGATTGAGGGGGAAGAATGAAGAGCAATTTAGGGGTAGAAAGTAGGATGTTCTTGTCTTCTGCATCCTTTACTGAATCACAGTAAAACAGTTTCTTGATCCTGCTGTTTTTCCCTCCTTTCCACCCTCCACAGAATATGGGGTGCTGTAGGGTTCTGTACCTGTAATGAGGCAGGGCAGTGCCCGAACTCCAGTGCTGGCCGCCACCAGGGAAGCCTCGTAGGCACCGCGCTCATCCCGAGGTAGAACCTGCTCCAACCGCTGGTCCATTGAGATTGTGAGCACCCAGTCTCGAACCTCTTCTCTCTGAGCCTCCTGGGAAGGACAGAGCAGCTTCACGCAGGGCAGGGCAAGTGGAAGGTGGCGGGTAGAGGGTTTGCTGAGCCGTCATCCTGTGTGCCACCTTTCACCCACAAACGATCCTCCTTGGATTGGCGGTCACCGTCACAGCCTTAGCTTTTTCCTCTGCTTCTACTTTCACTGAACGAACAGTGCGGGCTGAGGCCCTTCCAGAGACTTTGCTGACTGATGTCATTACAAAGTGTTGGGAGGACCATCCTAAAGTGGCCTCCCTTTCTAGTGCACTCACACTCCTGAGGCCTCCTGTTCTCCAATCCTGTGCCCTTACCGGGACGTGCTGCTTGGCTGGGAGTGGCACCTCAAAGGGAATGTCTGTATCCTGAAAGTCAGAGTGGTCAAGGGCATCCAGAGTCCCTTCTTCAATTGCCTGCGGCAGAGTGGGCAGCCATGAGATAGGCACAGGGAAAACCTCCCAACCTCTGGGCACAACTGCCCTACTCACATCGGTCAGATCCAAAAAGCGGTTGAGGAAGATGAAGGCCATGTTCTCCCAGCCAACTGCCTGCACCAGAGAAAAGGTGCAAGTGGGAGTGAGCAGATGGGCGTGGCTGTGTGTCTCCAGGATGCAGGGGGGAGAACCCAGGAAGATACAGGAAAATGACCTCCTCCATAACGTCAGCCCCACGCTCAGCTCTGCTCTACCTGAGCAGCTGGGATTTCCTACTTTGCAACTTTTGATTTCCTTCTCTCCTGGGCCCCACCCTTGCTTGGCCCCATTGCTCACCTTGGCAGCAATGCCTGCTTCATAGAAGGCCTTGTCTGCAGGTAGTAGCTGGGTGTGACGTAAGAGTGAAACAGAAAGCCTGGCAGCCACAGTTTCCTATGGATTAAAGTCAAAGCATTATGATCCTGGCACTGTGTGACTGAGCTGCCAGACCAATGATCTTATAACTAAGGCAGCCATAGAACCAGAAGACCATCAATATCAAATTGCTCTGGGTCATGCAGTTCTGGGTCTTAGTTTTTTTTTCATCTGCGCAAGAGAACTGGACCTAGGAGAGCAGTGGGCCAAGCTTGAGACCGTCCAGAACTTGAATTCATTCAACTTCATACATGAAGATGTGTCTGTAAGACTGAGAGCTCCTCCCCACTCTGTCTCACCAGCTGTTTGATGCTCTGGGCCGCAGAGCGAGTGGCATAGTAATGAGCGATCAGCAGCATGGTCTCGAACTCCTCATGGGCTGGAGAGTTTGCCTCACTGGACTTCACCAAGTTTTCACACTAGAGCAGGGAGAGTGCACAACCTGGGTCAGGGGTCAGAGGAGTGCCAGGGCCAGAGTGGTCAACTGATGGCCACCTGGACAGAGGAAGGTAGAGTCCGAGGGTGAAGGTTTATGTGCGTGAAAGAAAAGACGAGGACAGGGACAGGCAGAGTAGCCTTTCTGCTCTGCTGTCCACCCGACTTCCTCACCAGGTTGAAGAGGACGTCCCGAAGGTCAGCCCAGTTGTGATAGGCCTCGGCACTGTTGGTCCCAGGGGAGCTCACCATGTCAGTGAAGATCCTTCTGTAGATGTTGAAGTTCTGGAGGTGGAGGGGGAAGGAGAGCTGAGTGAGAAGAGCACAACTAGAAGAGAAAGTCAGGGGAAGTGGGGCCAAAGAGGAAAACCGGCTGTAAATGTGTGCGTGTGTGGAGGAGCTATGGGACGCTGCTGGAGAAAGTGTTATTTTAAGAGAAGAGGAAGAAGAAGGGCAAGAAAAAGCGATCTCTTCCTATCTGGCGCTCTGTGGGTGTGGGCAAATGTGGGACTGTGAATGTGCAGTCACACTGTTAACGGGGTGACAGTGTCCAGAGAGCTGTGATGTTCAGATAGGAGAGCGGTGCTCGCTCTGGAGGAAGTTAGGAAGGCCCTAGAGGTGTGTGCGGGTCATCTCTGAAAGACTGTTCCCTGCGTGTTAGCTAAGAGCACGGGGAGGTTGTTGGGTGTTCCTTCCAAGGGTAAATCCTCTAGAGAGGCTGTACATTCCTGAAGAGGCTGGGTGGGGTCTCAGGGGACGATGATCTCTAATGAAAGAATCCTTTGAGAAAACAGATCCTGAGGGCGTGAGTGGTTCTTGAGGAGAAGGTAAGAATTTCCTTGAGGAAACGTTCACCCCAAGGAGCTGGCTGATACCTGTGGGTTAGCAGGGGCTCCGTGTTGCACATACAGGGCCAGTGCCTGGGCACAGCCACCCTCTCGGATCAGGTGAGTCGCATACAAAGCCACGTACTTGTGCAGAATCTTGTAGTTCTGTTCCAGGGGTGCAGGAAAAGCAAGGGGAGGTTAGGGTCAGTAAGACCAAGCAGT